AAGTGAATTGACCTTATTTTGTGGTATTAAAAGCATTAACAATTGCACAACCAGTGACCCACAAACAGTCGTGGATTGAGTGATCAAATTTTTTTGGAAGGGATTATTACACCCTGGAAAGTGATCCGCCAATCAAGTAACAACCGGGTTCCTAATTACTGCTGGGTAAACAGCGGTGTGTGGAGTAAGGAAACTTGCCTAAAGTTTTGCCCCACCCAGGAATCGAACCGAGGTCCACTGGCCTGCGAGGCACTCTATCAAATGCAAGGAAGATTATTATTACTGGAATTATCTGTATGTCTCTCCTCTGTTATCGTCAACCATGAGCAATAGAATCAGGGAGATGAGTGGAAGAACAGACTGCACAGAGTCTTTTACACCAGATAAATGTCTCAAAATGCTTCAGCTGAAAGCTGAGCTCATCCTCAGAGAAAGAACAGTGACAAAGAGGCTGATTGGCCTCTGTGTCTTCATCATATTAAACATATGTTGTGTGTTGTCGGAAGCTTTAGAAATAATGGAGAAGGTGGAATGATATTAGGGAGACAGGCGAGAAGGAGTGGGGAAGAATTGTGGATAATTCATCATTGGAGCAACCATCGCTTCACATCTCAGCAAACTGAGTGTTTGTTTGATTGACATCAAATGAGATTTCAGCTTATTATTAACTTGTCAAACGGGCCTTCAAAGAAAGCGGCAGTGCAGATGGATGGTTTAATATGTTGTATTTTCCATTTTCAAACCCATTGAAACACAGGGTGTGTGTGATGTTAACTAAAGGCAAGTTTTCTCTGAGTATTGTATCTGTTTTGTTTCCAACTGACTTCCTAATCACAGATCTGAAATGAGCTGGAACTACAGAACCAGTTGATTTAATATCTGTGGCCTTTTTAAATCAACTTGGAAGCAAAAATCCATGTGTCCATGGGGGAGCTCATCCCCTGAGTGTTCCTGTAACATGGAATCCCATTAGCTGCTGATGTTGCCAAAAGGAATACATGTAACATTCACTGGCATTTTTTCCCCCAAATGCATCGGAGACCCACAGGCTTCAAAATGGAAATATTTACAATATAATAATTCTTGCATTGATATAGCACCTCATCACGTCGTCGAGACGGCTCAAAGCACTTAATAAGATATACTGTAAAGTGCAGCGACTGTATATTTTGTGGGGTGTATGTGGCAGCCAATATGTGCGCAGCAGTGTCCCACAAACAGTCGTAGATTGAGTGACCAATTTTTTAAAATATATTTATATATTTAGCACTGCATTGGAGTGTCAGACTACAATATATGAGTTCCATTTCCCCATAACCTTCTGACTTAGAGGCGAGAGTGATAACAACTAATTGCGCTAGGCTGTCACACAAATTCTATCCATCAGGTTCGTCCCAGCAGTAAGAAGAAACCCGATTGTTAGTCGATTGGCACCGTATAAAAAAGTCACTACACTTCATGTTTTGAATGTTTTGGAGAGTTTAACAGATGATAAGGTGCCGGAAAAATAAAATAATACATAATGCCCACATTTGCTACAATACACTGCCAAGAAGACATTTCAAAACTTTTCACAGTGAAGTGTAGTGACTGTATATTTTATAGGCAAATTCAGCAGTCAATTTGCACACTGCAACATCCCACAAACAGCTATGAAGTGAAGGGAAAGATCTTTCTTTCACTGATTACTGAGCCCAATCTGTGACGTTCCTGTAAAAGTATGGAATGTAAGTGGCGACAGACTATGCAGATGGGGTTGGAGGGGGTGAGGGGCATGAGCTGGCCTTCCCAATGCTACAGCTCAGAGAGAAATCATTAAACTCATCATCACAGTAAGTTAGTGCTGGCTGGCAGCTGTGAACTGTCTATTGATCATGAGAAACATCAAACATCATCTGATCGTGACTGTTCTCCTCACTGTTGAGCAATGTGTGCTCTGGCTCACATTACAGACCCTCAGAATCCTAACACACTCTCAAATTAATACCAGAATGGCCAACTTTACAATCCAAGCAGTAATAACTGGTTAATTTTCCTCAGTCATTCACAGAAGTGGAGAGTTGCCTGTAATGGGATATCACAGCCCGCTGGTTCACAGGATTGGTTGGGGTGAATAAGACCCTTCGGCCCATCTGTTCTCCGCCGACCAGAACACCGGCCCTCCCATCCTCCCATCACACCATCAAGCTGCTTATTAAGTGAGTTCAGGGTCCAGGCCTCAACTAACTAGTTCCATTCGTTAATTTCCCTTTGTGAAAGAAATACTTGTTGATGTCTGTCCTGAAATTGCCCCCTCAACCCTGACCCTTACCCCCCTGTTTTGCATCCTTGACATAACTTGTTCTGGGTTTACTTTCTCAATCGCAAATGGATCTAGATAAATGTCTAACAAGGAGTAAAGTATAGCAGTGTGGAGGAAAGGGCAGGTAAGTGGGACTGAAAGGATTGCCTTTAAAAAAGCCATCACGATGGGCTGAATGGCCTTATTCTATGCTGTAAATTTTTATGGTTCTAATTCTCTCCCTCTCAAGACTGAAGAGCCATTGCTGGTCGAATTGTTGCTCATAGCTCATTCGTCTCATACTGGGGATCATTCCCATAGCTCTGCCTCTAGGGTCTGTGCAGTCCCCTTACGTCGAGAAGATTCCATTCTACATGTACCCTGACTGACAAGATATGGATGACAGTGCCGGGAAGAGTGATGGGCAAACAGGAGACGGGCCCTCTTCTTGGCAACGGCTGTGAGCCTAGGTCCCCGAGGGGGGAAAGCATAGGTTGTTTTTTATTGCACGTATCCATCTTTGTATTAAAAAAATTGGCAAAATCAACGTAAATTCAACCAAGCAAAAGGACGAATGAGTTGGACATGTTTCTCTGCATTGATCTTTCTCCATCAAAAAAAGGAGAGAGGCTAATAACAGGAAGAAAAATGAATAATAATCTTTGCATTTCATATAGTGCTTTATCACATCTTCACGTCTTAAAGCGCTTTGCAGAATATACTTTAAAGTGAATTGACTGTGATTGTGTGGGCGAAACTCAATATTTGCTCCTGAAATCTAAAGGGTTGTAATAATAATAATAATCCTTGCATTGATATAACGCTTTTCATGTCCTCTAGACATCTCAAAGTGCTTCACAGAATATACTGTAAAGTGAATTGACTATATTTGTGGGCGAAACGCAGCAGCCAATTGCGCACAGCAGTGTCCCACGAACAGTCATGGATTGAAGTGACCAATTTTTTTAAGTTTAGTTCGAACACGTTCTCCAAGATGTGGACTATAGCTTTTAATCTGTTCCTTGACAAACACCGTTGTTTGAATTTAAAAATACTCATTCGGAAATAACTATCCCTCAGTAAGTAAGAAACAGTAATCCAGAGTCTAATTCTGTTTGCACTGCCTGAATAATTCGTTTCTAAGCTTGTAACATGACATTTTTTAATATTAATGTTAATTTCTTATTTTAAATGGATTTCTCTCTGGATAGTGAGAATGGGATTCAGAATGAGGATTAGTAGCCTGAACCAGACAGATAGATCCAGTGCCTGCTTGAAAGCGTAGTGTCGTACTGTAAGTGTTGGTGTTCAGAGGGATAGAAAGTGCACCAGCACCGACCCAAGGAACAACAATAAAATGAATGCCACAGAGGATGAAGCATTTAATAATATGAATAATAACTTGTATTTATGTGCTAACTTTCATGTCATAATAATAATAATAACCCTTACATTTGATATAGCGCTTTTCACGTCTTCTAGACGTCCCAAAGTGCTTCACAGAATATACTGTAAAGTGAATTGACTGTATATTTGTGGGCGAACGCGGCAGCCAATTGCACACAGCAATGTCCCACAAACAGTCGTGGATTGAAAATGACCAATTTATTATTGTTTTGTTTTTTTGGAGGGATTATTATTAGGCTCTGTGTGGAGTAAGGAAACTTGCCCAAGGTTTCGCCCTCTGCCTGGAATTAAACTCAGGTCTCTCACTTGCAAAGCGAGTGCTCTAATCACTGAGCTACAGGACTTCATGGTTCATGCAGGTGCAGCCTGGAAGCACTCTCGCCTTTGAGTCAGAAGGTTGTGGGTTCAAGTTCCATGTGGCAACTTTGAACTCACAGTCCAGGCTGATACTCCATCGCAATACTGGGGGAGCTCACTCATTGTTAGAGGTGCCTTAATTCAGATGAGATATTAAACCAAGGTTTGTTTGCCTGTCCAGGTGGATGTTAAAGATCCCGTGGTGCAATTGGAAAACAGTTTCTCCCAGTGTCCTGACCAACAATCTCCACAAATAAAATTGGTCATTCACTTCACGGCTGTTTGTGGGACATTGCTGTGCATGAAATTGGCTGCTCACTTGCCTACAAAGTACATAGTTGCTGTGATTCACAATAAAATCCTATGAATTGCATTGAGATATTTCAGTGATGTGATGTGCATGAACTGCAAGGCTTATTGTTATTCTAATAATTTGATTTTCTTACCAGGAAACATGAAAGGCTTCGTTTTCTTCAGCAGAGATGTGATTATAGAATTGAATCTCTTTCATAGGAGCTCGAGACTAGTGTAACAATTTAACACTTTGTACTAGGCAATGTGTGGGTGTAATGGACCCCTATTAATCTCTCCACACACATGAATGCGTGCGCGCACACACACACGTCGGGAGCATATCCCAAGATGCTGGACAGTCCAAGGTTTGACCCAGAGCCTGGGGTGGGGGCCGATGGGGTGGGGCCAGGGAAGGCAATGGTGGCTGAAAGCACAGTCAAAGAGGAAGGTCTTCAGGAGGACCTTGACTAGTCAAAGGGCTGTAGTTCCAGAGAGTGGGGGCAAAATGCAATGTGAAGCAAGAGCAGCAACTTGCATTTATATAGCACCTTTCATGCAGGGTAGTATCTCAGAGTGCTTAAGCAGGCTGAACACTAAAATATATATAAAAATGACAACACACATGGGTCAACTGAAAAAAGATAACATTTGATTTCTGGGGAAGATTTATCCGAAGAACTAAACACTTTTATTCAACTCATTTAAAATACAGATCGACCCCCAAAAACATTCATGTTACAAATACAGTCAGTGCTTCAGTACAAAATTCAGAATTGTTTGTCATAAATACACCAAATGTGTATTCCAAAAGTGTCGGCAGGCACGAAAAGAAACATCACACTCATGTTAGTTAATACATGAAAATCCTGGGTAAAAGGTACTTTATAGATAAGAACTTGATCTGTGGATGGGAAAGGATGATAGATTGGAAGCTAGTCTTATGTTTGAGCCATGAATAAAAACAATTCAGTTTCCAAAATAAATACACTTTAAACCCAAATTTCCCCTCCCTCTCCCCCAAGTCTTCGCTTGTATAACCATTGGGCTGAAGTTCCGGCTGGGGTTAGGCATAGGGCCTTTTGCTGCTAATGAGATTTCCCTGTACTAAATCTGTTTCCATGAATGGAATCTCAGCCTAATTGAATCTTACAATTCTTAAATTGAGTCCAAATTTAGACACAGAAAAATCTTCCTAATTAACACTGAATTTGAGATTTTTTCTACAATTCTGCAATGCCTTGCGGCCTGAGACCAGGTGGAATTTGAGGTCTTTTGTGCACCTAATACTCCCTGGAATTAGGTAAGAGGAAGTGACACACAGGAAGTCCCATGTGGATGTTGCATACATGGAACCCTCAGTTTAGATACTCTTGAGCATGGTGATATGTTTCTGCATTTGCCTGACCAAAAAATATTATTATTATCTGTTTTTACCATGGAGCATTGTATCCTCAATGGACAGGACAAGGCAAATTGGAAACCAAACTGGATCTGCCCTACCCTGGAGAGACATATCTCACATTGATTTGTCACACGGAAACAATACATCACAACTGGGACTTGTAGAAGTCCATCCAGTCTTTCATCCCCGAGAGAGGAAACATGGAACACGGAAATGGGTATGAGCAAATAGAGAAAGGAAGAATTCTCAACAGGAGAGAGCATTAAATAAGCCACTGAATATGCTCTGTATTGGTGTTCCTCACACTTGTAGTGAGCTTTGAGGTGTAAAAACAGGTTTGAGATTCAATCTGCTTGGATTAGGAAGACAACTCCAATGTTAGACAATCAGGCAACCCAGCCATTCAAACCAGAAGCCCAAGAATGTTCTGCTCTGCTCAGCTCACTGCACGGTAAGGGATGTTTTGACCATATACACAAAAAAGAGACAGTATTATCTACTGTGGCAAATAACATTTTCACAAATGTTTTCGTCTTAAAAAAGAATGCTCATGAACATTCAGAATTTAGTAACTCGCCTCATATTTTGGTAAGTGACTGGACTAATGTGAACGTTGAGCCCTGATTGAATGAGAGATGTTCCTCGGGCCTTTGAAGGAGCAGAGATGACAACAAAGAAAAGCGTCACATTTAACCACCGGCTCCTGACATCGGCTTGATATTTACCCAAATTGATCTACCTACTGACATGAGGGAAACAGGTCACATTTCACACATTACCGATTGAACAAAGTGATCCACCCCCAAAAGTTCAGAACAAAGTGACCCCTTTTACTACTCCCCATATTTACACCTGCGGGCTATCTCCGTGACAACCTATTGCACATGCCAGCCCAGAGTTCAGATTTGCTGTTTTCTATCTGTGAAGTGGTAGAAAAACTCCGGGCCTGCTACGAGTCCCCGTTTGGGCTATGAGTAAACTTGTGTTCCTCCCTCCTGTGTGGGAGTGGACTGAACGACTGACTTTACAATATGTAAAGGACGCAGAGTGGTCCGCAGAGCTTCCGGTGGGAGGGGATCATGGCGTTGGAGGGGGCTTCGGAGATGGACAGGAGCCCTGGCTGTCAAAGCTCGCTGTGCGTCCTTGCCACTGGAAAAAAATGTAAGAGGAAATTAAAATTTTCAATTCACTCTGAAACAGTTACAATCCCAAAAATTTACATTTACATGATGCCTTTCACACTGACAGGACATCCCAAGCTGCTTGACAGTCCTGGCTTGATAATCATTCTAGGGGGGAGAGAAGGGTAAGGATGATCAAAAACACGGTCAGTGAGGAAAGTCTTGAGATGGTCCTTGAACGAAGTGAGGGAGGGAGCAAGTGGGAGGGACTCCAGGATGTCTCCAGAGAGCGGGGGCTGAATGGCCGATTGTGGGGGAGATGGGGAACACAAAGCAGGCCATGCCCCCTGAGCGGTGGGAGTGGCTGGGTTGGTAGGGATTTGAGTAGGTGGCAGATTTACGGTGGGCCGAGACCGTGGAGAAATTTAAAAGGAATTTTAACTATTAAGAATGGAAAGCTCAACATTGCTTCAGCCCATGGATCCATTCAGGTCAGAATTGTGGGAAATTCATTAATTTTGACATTGTTTATTCATAAGATCCACAAGATCGCTTCATAGATGAATCATAGAATCATAGTATTATACAGAACAGAAGGAAGCCATTCGGCCCATCGTGCTTGTGCCAGCTCTTTGATAAGAGCTATCCAAATTAGTCCCACTTCCCCGCTCTCTCCCCATAGCTCTGCAAACTTGTCCTCCCCAAATAATTATCTACTTCTCTCTTAAATGTTGTTATTGAATTGGCTTCCACCAGCCTTTCAGGCAATGCATTCCAGATCCAAACAACTCATTGTGTGAAAACATTTCTCCTCACCTCCCCTCTGTTTCTATTTTAGATCAGTGTCCTCGGGTTACCGAACCTCCCGCCAGTGGAAATAGTTTCTCCTTGTTCACCCTATCGAATCCCCTCATAACTTTGAAAACTTCTATTAAGTTTCCCCTTAACCTTCTCCACTCCAAGGAGAATAATCCTTGCTTCTCTCGCCTCTCCTCATAACTGAAATCCCTAATTCCTGGTACCAACCTGGTAAATCTCCTTTGCACTCTCTCCAATGCCTTGACATCCTTCCTAAAGTGTGGGGCCCAGAACTGAACACAGTCTCTAAATGAGGCCTAACCAGTGTTTTATAAAGGTTCATCATAACTTCCTGACTTTTATATTCTATGCCCTTACTTATAAAGCCTAGTATCCCGTATGTTTTTTTTTAACAGCTTTAACAACCTGTCCTACCACCTTCAAAGATTTGCTTATATGAATCCCCAGGTCTCCCTGTTCCTTCACCCCCTGTAAGATTGTACCATCAGTTTATATTGCCTCTCCTCATTCTTCCTTCCAAAATGCATCACTTTGCATTTCTTCACATTAAACCTCATCTGCCACACATCTGCCCATTTTACCAGTCTGTCTATGTCCCCTTGCAGTTTGCTACTATCCTCCTCACCATTTACTACTTTTCCTCGCTTAGCATTATCTGCAAACTTGGAAATTGTACTCCCTAATCCCAAGTCCAATTTGAAGAAGACCCTTCAGCTCATCTGATCTCATCCCTCCAGAACAGCCACAATCCTGTCACCCATCACAGCATCAAGTTGCTTCTTAAATGTGTCTCAGTGTCGTGGCCTCAACAATCCTTCCTGGTAACCGTGTTCCAGTCGTTAATTACCCTCTGAGTAAAGAAAAACTTCCTGGTGTCAGTACTAAAACAGCCCCAAACCCATGTACTCTTCTCCTGCTGCCTCACTGTATTTGCAAGTATTTGAATTTACTTTCCTCAATCTTACATAGAAGTTTGTATAAGAACCCTCTGAGGCTGAAGAAGCACAGCTTGGCTAATCATTTCTCTAACCCTGGGGAATCCTCTGGAGGGAAACAATACAAATCAAATATTCATTGAAAATATACCCATCAACATCCCCAATCTAATAACTGAAAATAAATATTGATCATAAGCTGACCTTCTGATTGGGGCCAGCACCTGTCAATGTGTTCTCAGATCTCAGCCACTGAAACACAGAATCATAGAATATTACAGAACAAAAGGAGGCTATTCAGAAAATTGTGCCTGTTCAGGCTCTTTGGAAGAGCTACCCAATCGGTCCCACTCACCCAGCTCTTCCTCATATTATTGCAAATTGTTCCTCTTCAAGTACCTATCCAATTCCCTTTTGAAAGTTGTTGTTGAATATGCTTCCATCACCTTTTCAGACAGTGCATTCCAGACCATGACAACTCCTCATCTCTCCCCTGGTGCTTTTGCCAATTGTCTTGAATCAATGTCTCCTGGTTACCGACCCACCTGCCGAAGGAAACAGTTTCTCCCCATCTACTCTATCAAAAACCCTCATAATTTTGAAATTGTATCGCTCAGCTCCCAGAATCCACACCTCTCGCTTTAATCTCTTGAGCTTCCACTGACACTACGTCATGGGCTTATGATTTCAGAACAGAAACCAGGATGTTTTTCTTTACTCAGAGGGGAAAATGTAATAATCCTTGCATCTGATACAGCACATTACCACATCCTCAAGATGTCTCAGACCCTTCACAGGATTTTACTGTAAAAGTGCAATAGGTATTCTATGGGCAAACGTGGCAACCAATTTGCGCACAGCAATGTCCCACAATCTGCCATGAGCAATTCTCTATGGGGATTGTCGACCAGGACATTGGGAGAAACTTCCTTCTCTTTTCAAATAGTAGTATGGAATTTTTAATGTGCACTTGAACAGACCTCGGTTTAACAATAATAATAATCCTTGTATTTGATATAGCGCCTTACCATATCTTTGAGACGTCTCAAAGCATTTCACAGAATATACTGTAAAGTGAATTGACTGTATATTTTGTGGGCGAAATGCAGCACAAAACAGTGTGTGAATTGAGTGACCAAATTTTCTTTTGAAGGGCTTATTACCCTTAGATCCACCAATCGAGGAGAAAAAAAGCATTTAAGGCCATGAAGAAAAATAGCACGGAAATAAGTCGGACTCAATACGGAAATAAGAAGGTATGCCAGGACTAGGACTACAAAAGGATCAGAAAAGCTTTAAATTGAACATGGCAAAAGGTGTGAGGGCCTAATAACAAAAAGTTTTTCGGTTACATTAAGAGAAGTAAAACAAGCAATGAAATGTGGCACTGAAGGTGGGTTCAACATGACAAATAATGCTGCACAGGCTGCAATAGTACTAAATAAACTTTTTGCATCAGCCTTTACCAAGGAGGAGACAGGTAACCTATCTGATCTGGAAAGAAAACTCAAGGATGTCGCAGAGAAAAGTTGCGACACTATTCATATCACTACCAGCATTGCTGCCAAACAGCTGTGTAAACTTAAGGTAAATAAATCTCAGGGGCCAGATAAATTGCATCGGAGGAACCTTAAGGAAATAACAACAACAACAAGAACAACAACAAAATTACATTTGTATAGCGCCTTTCACATCGGGAGGATGTCCCAAGGTGCTGGATAGACAGAGTTACGGACCCAAAATGGGGATCGGGGTGGGGGAGGGTGGAGGGCAGGGGGGAGCAGGGGGATCGAAAGCACGGTCGAAGAAGATGGTCTTGAGGTGGGTCTTGAAGGTGGTGAGGGAGGGGGCGAGAGGGAGGGACTGTGGGATGAAGTTCCAGAGCGTGGGTGCAGAGTGGCAGAAGGCCCACATGCCAATAGTGGGGCGAGCAAGGGAGGAAGTTGCAGAAACGCTGGCAAAAATCTTTTAAAATAACTGAATACTGGAGAGGTGCTGAGGGATTGGAGAAAGGCAGATCTGACTCCTATTTTTAAAAAAGGTAACACAAGTAACCCAGGAAACTACAGACCAGTAAGTTTGACATCCATTGTGGGTAAAATTATGGAAACTCTTATTAAGGATAAAATCATGGAGCATCTGGACAGAAATAAAATCATAAAAGATACCCAATACGGGTTCATGAAGGGAAGGTCTTGCCAATCTAATTTACTGGTTTTCTGTGACGGATGTTGACAAGGAAAAGGCTGTGAATGTTGTATATCTGGATTTCAGTGATGCCTTTGATACAGTTCCTCTTGAGAGGCTGTTAGTGAAAGTAAAGAAAGCGAGAATCAGTGGAGGTATATTACAATGGATACATAACTTGTTTACTGAAGAACCCAGAGGGTGGTGGTACAGGGAATGTCATCAGACTGGGAAAATGTTACCAGTGGAGTTTTTATAAATGATCTGGAACTAGGAGTCACAAGCACAGTGGCTAAGTTTGCAGATGACACCAAGGTAATGAAGGTGGTAGATTGCGAAGCTGAACAAGATAGGTTACAGGAGGATTTGAACATACTTGGGAATTGGGCAGATGAAATTCAATGTGGAGCAATGTAAAGTACTTCACATGGAAGCAAAAAATCCTGGAAAGTATTATTTGAACGGAAGGAAAATAATATGTATGAAAAATGGTAAGGACCTGGGGGTCCTGATTGACAACACATTGAAGTTCTCCCAACAATGTTCTCTGACAGTGAGTAAAGCAAACCAGATATATCAAAATATCAATAGCAGCCAAAATAGTGGGGTCATCCTGCCACTGTATAAATCATTTGTGAGACCATACTGTGTACAGTTCTGGCCACCACAGTACAAAAAGGATATTGGAGAAATCGAGAAGATACAGAGGAGGGCAACGATTTTGGGATTGGAAGGACTTGTCTATGAAGAGCGACTAAGTAAATTGGTCATGTTCACATTGGAAAAGAGAAGGTTGAGAGGCAACATGATTAATGAATTTAAGTATATTAAAGGGGCAAAACAATATAGATCATGACAGGCTGTTTCAACTTGTCCAGAAGAGTAAAACCGGAAGACACGGCCTGCGATTGAAGGGGATAAATTCAGAATGAATCTATGCAAACACTATTTCAGTTGGATGAATAGTGAAAGGTGACGTGAAAGGCGCTATACAAATGTAATCTTGTTGTTGTTGTAGTGAACCTGTGGAACAGACTCCCCAGGGACACGGTTGAATCAGGAAGTGTTGATTGTTTCAAACACAGATTAGATAGTTTTTGTTTAGGAAATAACATTATGGGATACAGTACATAGGTAAATGGGACATATATGCATGCGACCGCCAGGAAGGCAAACTAGATGGACCTTGGTCTTTTCTCGGCTAGCATTTCTTATGTTCTTATGTTCTTATGAGTAACAACTGTGTTCCTACTGACTGCTAGGTAAATAGAGGCATGTGGAGTAAGGAAAGTTTCCCAATGATCCCCCTGCCCGAGAATCGAACCCAGGGGTTTAACATTTCATCTGAAGGACTGTGTCTCCAACAATGTGGAGCTCCCTCAGCACTGCAGTGGAGCGTGGCATGGGATCTTGAACATCCACCTGAACAGACAGACTGGAACTCAGCTTAACATGTCATTCAAACCACGACACCTCTGACAAAACAGTGCTCCCTCAGCACTGCACTGAACGGTAGTGTCAGCCCAGACTGTGAGCTTGAAGATGGTGGCAGAGAGCCCCAGGTGCCTCCACTTCACTGCCAGGGTCTCAGTGAGAGCTTACCTCCACAAGGGCATGCCAGTGAGCTATTGGTTTGCGTGGGTACGCCAGCATCTCGTTCCAGTGGTCTCGCCCCAAGCCATCGGCCGTGATGCCCACCCGACAGACTCCGATGATCTCATTGTGGCCAACACTGAGTGGGGAGGAAAAGATACTTGTTAAAGCCTCTCCCCAGCAAACAATGGGATAGATGCCAGCCAGCACTGAAGCCCATCGCAATCAGCCCCAGCCACAGGACACAGGGTCACACCACCGGGAGATTACCGACAATTGAAGGACAACAGTTTAAAGTGTTAGCCCGGCTCAGTTTCTAACAATTTTGTCTCCGGCTCACAAGATTGTGGGTTTAAATCCACAACAATACACACTTTACAGTATTCTTGTGCAGCGCTTTGAGACGTCTCGATGACGTGATAAGTTGCTGTATCAAATGCAAGGATTATTATTATCATTATTATAATAGGGACTTTGTGTTCACAGCCTGACTCTCCAGTGCAATGCTGGGTGGATGCTGTTCAATGTTGGAGGTACCGTCCTCTGTGGATCAGACCCTTAACTCAGTACCTGTCCCGATGGACGTTAAAGAACCCGCAACAGTATTCGAAAAGAGAAGGGAGTTTCTCTCTCCCGATGTCCTGGCTGACAATTTGTGCGCAAATTATTTCTACGAATACTCTCCACAGCAGTTCCCTGTGAAGTACAATTAGATGTTATAATAGACAATCCCTTGATAATCAATAAGATTGTTCCTTGGGTTTTAAAAAGCAAACCAAATAAAAAACAGGGGTTTCCAGTTTTAAGCTTGGCCTCGACTTTGGTGGTCATTTAGGTGGCTGTTGACTAATTCTAGAGAGACATGTTTTACCAAAAATGTGCCAGAGGAGAGATGGCCCAGGTGGTGTTGTGGTCACAGCAGACTGACTGTGACAGATGCTCCCCCCTCTGTCTATGTTTCTCTTCTCCCTTGTCAATCCTTGCTTGTTCAAAATCAACTGCTGCCTACATAGGAATCGCTCCACAACTTATGAGATGTTACAGCCACTGCATCAAACACAAATATTGATCTTCTTATCCGTGCCAGACTGGTGCCAACCTGTGCCCCAAGGCTCTGGACATACACAGAGTCTGACTCAACAACAAATGAACACAAATTACACTTGTATAGCGCCTTGCAGATCGGGAGGATGTCCCAAGGCGCTATACTCCTTTTGTTAGACTCTAGGCGTTAGACTCACCGATCGTAATCCATGACGGAGACCAGGAGGCTGACTTGATCCATGTTCTCTGGGGGAATGTCGAAGATAATCGCCTCGTTGTAAGTTGGATTCAGTGTGTTTTTCTTTATTGTTGTTTTCTTCTTTTTTAATCTTCGCCCTTCGCACAGCAACGAGACCTTCACGTACGGATCTAGAAGAGAAATCAGCTGTGTTAGACAGCAACAACAACTTATGTTTACGCCCTCCACGCTGGGTGGAGTCTCAGAGCGCTTAACAATGGTGGATCCCAAGGCCGAGCCAGGGGGAGGGGGAAGGTGACCATAGGCGCGGTCGAAAAGGAAGGTCTTCATGTGCGATCTGAAGATGGGGAAGGAGAGGGCGAGGCCAAGGGATTGAGGGAGGCAGTTCCAAAGCTTCAGGGCGTAATGGCTGAAGGCACGGCTGCCGATGGTTGAGTGGGGGATTTCTAGACGCAGAGAAGGCCAGACCCAATAGAGCAGAGGCAGCGGGTACTGGGGAGAGAGGAGTTTAGAGAGATGGGGTGGAGGGGGGGGGGTGGTCAAGAAATGGAGGGATTTAAACACTAGAGTGAGGATCTTGAAGTGGATCCGCTCTGTGACAGGAGCCAGAGGAGTTTGGCAAGGACTGGGGGTATCGGTGTACGAAGTTTGGTGCGGGTGAGAAAGTTAAACTGCAGGCGGACACACAGAATAAACAGCAATAACAGCACGATCTATGCACCATCGATACAGTTTAAATTAACTTCTAAAGGAGCTTCCTTGCTCCTCTTTACACCAAGAGGATCTCTTAGCCCAGTGATTTTTCTTTACACGTTTCAGACCTTCAATCGAACAGTCTGGGCTGACACTGCAGTGCAGTGCTGGGGAGAGCTCTGCATTGTTGGAGGTGGCGTCCTTCAGATGAGACATTAAAACCAAGGTCTCGCCTGAGCCTGATCAAGTGGATGTTAAGATCCCGTGGCTCTATTCAAAAAGAGAAGGGTGTTTCTCTCTCCCATTGTGCTGGAAAATAATCCCCCAGATAAAATTGGTCATTCACCTCATGGCTGTTTGTGGGGACGTTGCCGTGTGCAAATTGGTGGCTGGTTTCACCTATAAAAACACAGGCACTTTACAGTGTATCGTTCTTTGATGTGATAAGGCACTGCATCAAATGCAAAGATTATTATAAAAACAGTTACCATGCTGTCTGTGAAAGGTGTCTACGTCCTGTCTAACACAGGACTTTGTGGAGTCCTGTAGCTCAGTGGTTAGAGCACTTGCCTCACAAGCAAGAGACCTGGGTTCAATTCCAGGCAGAGGGCGGAACCTTGGGCAAGTTTCCTTACTCCACACAGAGCCTAATAATAATCCCTCAAGAACAAAAACAATAATAAATTGGTCACTTCAATCCACGACTGTTTGTGGGACGCTGCTGTGTGCAATTGGCTGCCGCATTTCGCCCACAAAAATACAGTCAATTCACCTTACTGTATATTCTGTGAAGCGCTTTGAGACGTCGAGAAGACGTGAAAAGTGCTATATCAAATGCAAGTATTATTATTATTATAACACACAGAATATCTGTCACCTCGACAAGATGGGTTAATAATAAAAGGTGATGATCAAGGGAGCTGTGGTATGGACTGATGGGAGGAATGGGACCTGTGCTAAAAACGGCTACATTCCTATGTTCCTATGTTCCTTCACTCATCTATTTTCTCCATCTCTTTCGCTTTTCTATTAATTTATTATTAATTTTGCTCACAAAATATACAGTCAATTCACTTTACAGTATATCCTGCGAAGTGCTTTGAGACATCGCGATAACGTGATAAGGTGCTATATCAAATGCAAGGATTATTGTTATATCAAATGTAAGGATTATTATTATATTATTTTTATTGTAAAGCAATTGAGAAAAATGTAATTTTAAATCTGGGACGAGATTTGAAGTCATTGCCTCCTGTCTTCCCTTGTTTTACACAAGCAAAGGATCACTGTCAGTTCAGCAAATTGAAATGCAGATTATTCCCAGAGGATTACAACCTGTCTATAAAATGTAATTACCCCTGTGTGAATACCGGAATCCAATTTGATGCCAGATCCCAACAGTTTGCAGCTGATTTTCACTTGTGTTTGATTCAATATATGTGTTAAATTGACACTCACTCACAATCTGGTGAGGACGACAATTTTGAACTTGATCCTCTGAGAGATGGAGAGGGAAGAGTTGTGAAAGCCGACAAGCAGGGCATTGGCATAGTCGAGCCTGGATATAATGAAGGCATATACTGTAAAGTGAATTGACCGTATATTTTTTGGGTGAAACATGGCAGCCAATTGTACATAGCAGCGTCGCACAAACAGTTGTGGATTAAGTGGAGTGACCGAATTATTATTATTTAATTTTGTTGAATAGATTATTACCCCCGGAAAAGCGATCGGCCAATCGACTAACAACCAAGTTCCTACATACCGCTAAGCAAACAGAGGCATGTAGAGTAAGGAAACTTGTCCCATGTTTTGCCCTGCCCGGGAATCAAACCCAGGTCTCTTGCTTGAGAGGGGAGTGCTCCAATCACTAAACTACAGGACGTCACATGCGGAAACCCATCACCTAAAGGTAATCCAAACCAAACCGAGAATTCCATACATTCCACCTGCACATGGAAATCCCAGAGATAGATTGTTGGAATGGAATGCGCTCTCTCTCCCTGGAGGGACACATCAGTTTACCTGATTCTGGAAAGTATTAGAGCCAAGGCTTGGGGACCCCAGAGTGTATGTTGGGGTAACTGCTGCTGGACTCTAACCAGCTAAACCCACATAGCTTGCCATTGATAACTTAACTCACAATCTAGGTCTAGAATAATGCTCCAGTGCAGTGATGGGGAGCTCGGCATTGTCCGCCCTTCAGATGAGATTTTAAACTGAGATCCTGTCTGCCTGTTCAGGTGGATCTTAAAGATGCTATAGCGCTAATTGAAAAGAAAAGGGAGTCCTGGCCAACAAGCCTAAACCCCAGTTAAAATGGATCAATCACTTCATAAACAAAAACAGAAGTCACTGGGAACACTCAGCAGGTCAGGCGGCATCTATGGAGAAAGGAAAGTGAGTCAACATTTCAGGTCCACGACCCTTCTGAAGGGACATTGCTGTGCAATAATTAGCTTCCTAATTAATGCACAGCAATGTCTCGCGCTGGCCTACAAAAGTCACTGCACTTGACAGTAAATACTGTGAAGCGTTCTGAAGCATCTCGGCGATGTGATAAGGCGCTATATCAAACCAAAGGATTATTAAGATTGAACCACAAGCGAAAAAAAGCATCTGATTGGCATATTCAAGAAGACAACAATGTTGTCCCAGGCACCTCCATACCCATTAACCTAACCTCCATTAGTGCAAACCTAAAGCAAGCAGTAAGTTTTGCAAATAGTGCAGTGACACTTTGTGTTACAAGGGTAACATTTGTGGCATTCCATAAAGCGTTCCTAAAATGATTTAAGGAAGACCAGCAGGTGGTGCTCCTGGTCAAGACAGTGCTGTGTTCCTCTCAGGGTCCTAACACTTGCATTATGTGCGTCCCTGAGACCAGAGCGATTTTAATTTACCTTTAGGATCTCTGTTGACTCTAGGTTGTATCTGTGTCACTGTCACTGCCCTGGGCCTGATCTGACCGGGCAAAAAGTTAGCTGTTAACTTTTAACATTCCGCCCAATTTGGTCACTCAAATCACGGCTGTTTGTGGGACACTGCGGTGCACAATTGGCTGCCGTGTTTCGTTTCGCCCACAAAATACACAAGTCGCTCCACTTCACAGCATATAATTCTATGAAGTGTTTTGAGACGTCTCAACGATGTAATAAGGCGCTATATCAAATACAAGGATTATTATTATGATATTGCACGTCACATTTCTTGTATCCACCCCCAGTTACAGCTGGAGAGATTTTAAGTCGATTGGCCATTGCAGACTTTACCCCCTTGGGAAATTTTCAGATTCTTGTTTCAAATCATCGCAATTGTTTCCATTATTTTAATATGTTCATTGATCTGGAGAGATCGTCTGATATAAAAAAAACACAATCTTCTTTTGGATGAAGAGGAAACGTCCTTTCGTTTCAAGGTTTATTTTATTTCAGCAGAAATTGAAACTCGGGAACATTGAAGTGAGATTCTATCCCCGCCATCTGATGGGAGGAAGTGATTGAAATTCTTGCGACAGAGCAATGGGTCTGATCCTTCTCTTCATAGAATCATACAGCACAGAAGGAGGCCACTTGGCCCTTCGTGTCTTTGAAAAGAGCTATGCAAATCAATCCCACTCCCCCGGGCTCTCCCTGTAGCCCTGCAAACGTCCTCCCCAAATAGTTATCAATTTCTCTTTTAAAAGCTGCTATCGAATCGACTTCTACCATCCTTTCTTATCTCAGTTACACTTAATAATAGTGTAAATAATCCAGACAGCAACTTCTAGTCTATTTACCCTGGCAGGCCTTCAATCCCATCTCAGAGATCACTGAAGGTTAACACTCACGGCTTGTACTTACACAGAGTTATGGACCAAGTGGCTTCCATGTAGGTTCTATCAAACAGGTCATCAGCCCAACTAATGTGTGCTGCTGTTTATACTCCACATAAGCCCTCCTAACCCCTCTCCTATTGCCCTCTCCTACCCTTTCTATTCACTAGTCCCTCATGTCTGCAGCAAGTTTCTCTTAAATCACTGTGCATTTTTGCGTTAACCACAGTTTCCGGCAGTGAGTTCTACATTCTCACTGTCCTCTTCGTAAAAAAGTTTCTCTTAAACTCCCTATTGTGACAGCCCAGCTCAGTGTGTTTCAGTCTGGCTCAGTGTGTGACAGCCCGGCTCAGTGTGTGACAGCCCGGCTCAGTGTGTGTCAGTCTGGCTCAGTGTGTGACAGCCCGGCTCAGTGTGTGTGTCAGTCTGGCTCAGTGTGTGTCAGTCTGGCTCAGTGTGTGTGTCAGTCTGGCTCAGTGTGTGTCAGTCTGGCTCAGTGTGTGACAGCCCGGCTCAGTGTGTTTCAGTCTGGCTCAGTGTGTGACAGCCCGGCTCAGTGTGTGTCAGTCTGGCTCAGTGTGTGACAGCCCGGCTCAGTGTGTGACAGCCCGGCTCAGTGTGTTTCAGTCTGGCTCAGTGTGTGACAGCCCGGCTCAGTGTGTTTCAGTCTGGCTCAGTGTGTGACAGCCCAGCTCAGTGTGTGTGACAGCCCGGCTCAGTGTGTGTCAGTCTGGCTCAGTGTGTGTCAGTCTGGCTCAGTGTGTGTCAGTCTGGCTCAGTGTGTGTCAGTCTGGCTCAGTGTGTGTCAGCCCGGCTCAGTGTGTGACAGCCCGGCTCAGTGTGTGTGACAGCCCGGCTCAGTGTGTTTCAGTCTGGCTCAGTGTGTGACAGCCCGGCTCAGTGTGTGACAGCCCGGCTCAGTGTGTGTCAGTCTGGCTCAGTGTGTGTGACAGCCCGGCTCAGTGTGTGTGACAGCCCGGCTCAGTGTGTGTGACAGCCCGGCTCAGTGTGTGTCAGTCTGGCTCAGTGTGTGTCAGTCTGGCTCAGTGTGTGACAGCCCGGCTCAGTGTGTGTCAGTCTGGCTCAGTGTGTGACAGCCCGGCTCAGTGTGTGACAGCCCGGCTCAGTGTGTGTGACAGCCCGGCTCAGTGTGTTTCAGTCTGGCTCAGTGTGTGTGTCAGCCCGGCTCAGTGTGTGTGACAGCCCGGCTCAGTGTGTGTGACAGCCCGGCTCAGTGTGTGTGACAGCCCGGCTCAGTGTGTGTGACAGCCAGGCTCAGTGTGTGACAGCCAGGCTCAGTGTGTGTCAGTCTGGCTCAGTGTGTGTGACAGCCCGGCTCAGTGTGTGACAGCCAGGTTCAGTGTGTCTCAGTCTGGCTCAGTGTGTTTTTCAGTCTGGGACAGTGTGTGTGTCAGTCTGGCTCAGTGTGTGTGTCAGTCTGGCTCAGTGTGTGACAGCCTGGCTCACGGTTGTTTGTGGGATAATAGTGTGGGATAAATTGGCTGCTGCGCTCCCCCACAAACCATAGTCACTCCACTCTACAATGTATTCTGAAAAGCACTTTGAAAGATCTCAATGACATGACAAGGCGCTCTATCAAATTCATGGATTATTTATTTTTATGGCCACCCGTTTCCGTGCCTTTTCTCCACATCCCTCATATCCTTACCTATTAAGCATCTCCCTCCCTCTCTTGTGCCTTCATTAATTCTATTTATGGTCTTCACAGTCAGCGTGTTCCATACTCTTTCTCTGCGTGAATAGCAATTTTATGTACTCATTCTTCACTTAATGTTAATAATAAATAATTCAAATAATAATCAATATATTCAATGTAGCTCTTTTCACATCGGGAGGATCTCTTAAAGAGTTTCACAGGATTTACAGGATTTAGAAGTCTAGAGAGATTCGTAAGCAAATGAGGTAGACAAATTGCACACAGCAACATCCCATAAACAGCCATGAAATGAGAGACCAATTTTATCTGGGGTATTGTTGGCCAGAGAGAATCTCTCTTCTCTTTTCAAAGTGTATCATGGGAGATTTAACGTCAAAGTGAACAACCACAGAAAGGATATCAGGTTAATGTCTCACCCGAAGGATGGCACTTTGGACAATGCATCCCAACCCCTTGATCTCCAGTTGGCTCAGCTTCTCATCATAGCTGAGTCCTTCCATTGCAGCTATCATCCAGGTGAATATTGGCCAGACTTCCTCGAGGTTCAGTATCTTATTCCTCGGGTGGGACCCCCATCAACGTAGCACAACCAACGACTGATAAGCGAGACTTCATCCCTACGGTGCATCCCAGCAAGACATTGAATTCCCAGAGATAGATTGTGCGCTTTCTTTCTTTCTCTCTCTCTCTCTCTCTCTCCCTGGAGGGACTCAGCCTGCTTAACTAATTCCGGAAAGTATTAGGCACAGGTTGTCAAGAGACAAGGCTTGGGGACCCCAGAGTGTGTGTCGAGGTTCTGCTGGAATCTAACCAGCTAAATCCACAGAGCTTGCCATTGAGAGCGCTGTTTGGCAAGCTTTCCCGCTGCTTGTCCAGCTAGGAAGATTGAAATAAAATCACTGAAACCCAAAGACGTGTCTGTTGTAAACGATGGAGACTCACCAGAGTAGCCAGTGATGTCCATGGCTTTGAGGTTTCTGCACTTGATGACGGTTAGTGTCAGGCGGCCGGCGGTGGGCAGATAACAGAGAGAGAACATGATCTCACCCAGGTCCACGCTCTCCTGAGTAGAGAAGAAAAATAACATCAAAGTGTTGACTTAAAGGGTTGCAGCCCGAATCACTGAATCTGCAAAATCATGTCTGAAAATATCCTTCAAATGCCAAAGCTAATTAGTGAGAGAGAGAGAGAGAAAGCGAGAGTGAGGGTGTCTAAAATATAGGAGAGTGGTCAGACAGGAGACAGCTTTAGAGTTGTAAAGAGCAATTTTGGACCAAACACCAGGAAGTTTTTCATTACTCAGAGGGTAATCAATGAGTGGTTGTCAGGAAGGGTGGCTGGGGCTCGTTTAAGAATAAAGCAGCTCAATGCTGTGATGAGAAGACGGGTGGGTAGATGTTCTGGAGGGTTGGGTTCAGATTGGCTGACGGGGTTTCTTTATCTGAACCAACTTTGTGACCTGGTGAGGAATATCTTCTCTCAGAGATTGGTACGAACTTTGTGGCAAGTGGCAATTGAGGCTGGATTTGTGTTGTGGTCAGCCAGGTGTCTGACACACACACGGAAACCCGTCAACATGTTTAAGAGTCTTCGAACCAAATTACTGAATGCTCCACAAGAGCCTGGCTTCTGTTTGATTTCGATTTCAAGATCTTCACACTCGTCCACAAATCCCTTCACACCTTCCTACCTCTTTGACCTGCTTCCTCCCCACTCCTCTACCTGCCATCTCCGCTCGGCTGGCTCCGGCCTTCTGCTTAACCCTTTTGCCCTCTGCTCCACCATCATCAGCCGTGCTTTCCGCCATTATGCCACAAAACTTCAGAACTCTCTAGCCCATTCCCCCCGGCTTGATCCCTTCTTCCCCTCTTTTAGATTATACTCGGCATAAGGGGAGTGGGGGGAAACAGAGCACCAGCACAGGCACAAAGGACCAAATGGAATATATGTGTCGAAATATTCCACAATTCTCTTTGTTCAGCTCATGCTGAATCAATGTCACGGCTCAGGGGGCTATGATGGGCATGGAACACAACAACAACTACTTGCATTTATATAGCACCCCTCACAAAGGGTAGAGTCCCAGAGCGCTTGACGGTGGCGGAGCATGATACTGAGCCATGGGGAGGGGGGAGATGACCATAGGCATGGTGAAGAGAAAGGTCTTCAGGTGCGATCTGAAGATGGGGAAGGATAGAGGAAGAGTTGTCCAGAGTTTCGGGACCTAGTGGCTGAAAGGGGGCCACCAATGGTGGAATAGAGGGCATGAGAGACAAGCAGGAGGCTGGAGCCAGTCGAGCGGAGGCAGCGGGTGGTAGGTTGGCTACAGCAGGGGTCCGGAGGGCAGGAGGGTGACCAAAGACTTGGTCGAAGAGGAGGGTCTTGAGACGGGCCTTGAAAAAGGCAAGGGACTGTGGGGTGGAGTTCCTGAGGGTGGGGGCAGAGTGGCTGAAGGCGCGGGTGCCAATCGAACCCGTTCAAGCTATAAAACCGTGCATTGACACAGCCCTTAGCCACAGCAGGTCACAGGCTAATGTGAAAGCTGTAATCAGATCTTTAGGCTCAATAAAACTGGTTTAAACGCTCAACTTTTCACTCTGTGCTTAATTGGTTTCTTTTCCTGTAACTCTTTGCCGATAAAAGGCCCCGAGCTGTCTATTAGCCTAAATATTGCAAGTCACCCTGAGCGGAGTAGAGAGGCTGATGTCACTGCACTCCTCGCTCTCTGTATTTATAGCACAATGGCTGGACAATTTGCCAGGAGTTAAGTCAAACACTGCTATTTAGAACTATCTAGTTAGCCCTCCTCCCCCCAGCCTTTCCTCTCTCAGAGATGGGACAGGGAGCGATGGAGTCCTGCAGCTTAGTGATTGGAGCACTCGTCTCTCAAGTGAGTAGACCTATGTTCGATTCCCGGCAGGGCGAAACGTTGGGCAAGTTTACTTACTCCACACACCTCTGTTTACCTAGCAGGAAGTAGGAACCCGGTTGTTAGCCGATTGGAGGATCGCTTTTCTGGGGGTAAAAATCCCTTAAAGCAAACAAATAATAATAATAATAATTTGGTCACTCAATCCACGACTGCTTGTGGGATGCTGCTGTGCTCAATTGGCTGCCCTGTTTCGCCCACAAAGTATATAGTCAATTCATTTTACAGTATATTCTGTGAAGCGTTTTGAGACGTCTTGAAGACCGTGATAAGGTGCTATATGAAAAGCAAGGATGTTTATTATAAGATGGGGCAGATTCAAATAGGTTTTTCCTGTAGCTCAATAAGTCACTGACACGCATCTAATACAGAAATCAGTCTGGCCACACATTAATATAATAATCCTTTCATTTGATATAGCGCCTTATCACTTCATAGAGACCCTCTCTGTTTAAACGTGGCCTGAAACCCTACCTCTTCCAATAGCCTTTGGCCTATGGCCCTCTGCCCCCTTTGGTTGGGAGGAAACGTCAACACTCTTCACAGGATTTACTATAAACTGCAGTGACTGTATTTTGTATTTTGAACAAGACAGACAATTTGCGCATAGCCATGTCACACTGACAGCCATGAAGTGAATAACTACTATTATTTGGAGGATTGTTGGCCAGGACACTGGGAGAAACTCCCTCCTCTTTAATGTCCACCTCAACAGGTCCTCAGTTAATGTCTCATTGGAAGGACGACATTTCTGACAATGCTGGACTCTCCTGACATTACTCTGGAGCGTCAGCCTGGACTGTTGGGCTTCAGCCCACAGCCTAACTCAGTAGTGAGAGTAGTAAGCCAAGCTGACACACCATGTAAAAAGGCCCTTCAGTCATTTGAGCTCATCAACAACAACAACAATAGCTTACATTTATATAGCACCCCTCACACAGCAGACCGCTTGGCACAATGCCGAGCTGAGGGGAGGTGACCATAGCCACGATCAAAGAGGAAATCTTCAGGCGCGATCTGAAGATGGGAAAGGAAAGGACAAGGCCGAGGGATAGAGGAAGAGCGTTTTCGGGGCATAGTGGCAGAATGCGCGCCCACGGATGGTGGAATGGATGGTACAAGGGACATGTAGGAGGCCAGAGCCAGTCGAGCAGAGGCAGCGTGTAGTGGGTTCAGAAGCAAGCAGGTCAGATTTCTTTTATTATTCCAGAATGTCCATCCTAACATCCTGCATTCACAGCGTCGAGCTGTTGTTTCTATAGTTTGAAAAGTGAATGTCTTACAGGTCGGGTCAAGTTCAATCCCTGGCACAAACATCCACTGCCTGTTACCTGACTCGGATTCCCAATCAATTGCCAGTCATAACCTAGATTTATCATCACCTAGATGTTGAATGTCAAATAAAGAACTAGTGGCTATCCTGCATGGGGTGGGGAGGTGGGGGGGGAGGTAAGCAGGATCTGCTTGGAGCTGAAGTGGCTGCAAGGTGACATATTTGGCTACGGAATGTCAGAATCAAGCCAGCCCTCCGTGATAGTCTCTAATCCAGTTCCTGAGCCAAGCAGGTCTGCAGAATTCCAGTACACTGCTGATGACAGCCTGGCTTATCGGGAGGAGTTGGAAGGGCAGACTTGTCATTGGGGGCAGTAAGTCATCCCACTCAGCGTCTATTAACCCTGCAAACGAAAGCCCTAACATGTAAGGTGGTCCTAGCTGGAATTAGGTAAGCAGGATGTGTCCCTCCAGGGAGAGACTGTGCATTCCATTCCAACAATCTATCTCTTGAATTTCCATGTGTAAGTGGTGTGCATTTCACTCACAAATTATACAGTCAATTCACTTTACAGGATATTCTGTGAAGCGCTTTGAGATGTCTCGAATAATAAGGCGCTATATCAAATGCAAGGATTATTCTTATTATATGCATGGAATTCTCAGCTTGGTTTGGATACTCTTAACAACGGTGATGGATTTCTGCACGTGTCAGATACACAGCTGATCCCCAGAAAGCTAAAAAAAAACTATATTTCCTATCAGAAATGTCCAGGAAGGATCTGTCCATGTGCCACTAACAATATCATTCTGTTGCGGAGTATAGTCAATTGCTTGGGACTAGTTGCAGAGAGGATTTGAGTTCAATTGTTTGCCTTTTAAAATCAGTCACGCATTGTTACTCCATAGAGACCCTCAAGCCCACAATTGGCCACCCAAGCAACTGGCTATCATTTAACTTCTGGGCTGCAGTCAATCAGGATAAGGTAGTAACAGCCGTGGGCCATTTCAAAGTGAAAGTGACGTTTCAAATCAACTGAAGTGAAAATGGAAAATTCCAGAGGAGCAGAGTCACTCGCTGTACGAAAACAAGGTAAACAGGAACCTAAGCTGGACGGCTAACTCAATTCATTTTAGATCTCCAGATATCAACAACTGCTGCGGGAAATTGGCTGCTGCGTTTCGCCCACAAAATATACAGTCCATCCACTTTACAATCCATATATTCCGTGAAGCGCTTTGAGACGTCTCAATGAAGTGATAAGGCACTGTATCAAGTGCAAGGAGATTATTATTAAGGGCAGGTTTTCTTTCTCCACACGCCTTTGTTTATCTCATAGTAAGTAGGAACCCGGTTGTTTGTCAATTGGCGGATCGCTTTCCGGAAAAAAATTTGGTCACTCGATGGCTGTATGTGGGACACTGCTGTGCATAATTGGCCATTGCGTTTTGCCCACAACACACACAGTAATGACACTTTATAGTATATTCTGTGAAGCGCTTTGAGACGCCTCAATGACGTGATGAGGCGCAATATCTAATGCAAGGATTAATATTATCATCATTATGATACTCAGGCTGTATATTGCTCTGGTCAGGCCACACTTTGAACACTGCACACAGCTCTGGTGACTGTGACATCAGGGGCTGCCCAGGCCATAGAGACAGTGCAGAGGATGATCCCCAGTGTTAGAGGAATGAGCTGTGACTCTGAGCAATAACTGGACAAGCTATTCAGCCTTGAGAGAAAACAATTCAGATGAGACTTTATCGAGGTGGATGAGTTATATATTGGATTGACAAAATAAACCCAGCTTTACTTTTTCAATCCCATTAAAAATGTTATACATCTCTATAAGGTC